TTCGCCGCTCCCTTCTCGCAGTTGATTGCCTTCGCCTCAAGCACGCCCTGATCTCCGACTTGCAGAGGATCACGTCGGGCTCTACCTTCGCCTTCCGTCCTCTCGCTCTCGTTGGCTGGGTCGAGGGCCAGGCTTGTAGCGTCAGGCTCTAACTTCGCCGTCCGCTTCTCGCACAGAGGTGTCCGAAGGAGATCGCCGACGGCTTCGGGCTGCGACTTCGCCACGCACATGCCCTGATCCCCGAATTGTAGCTGACCGCGTCGGGCTCCAGCTTCGCCTTCCGTCATCTTGCACATATCGGTTGGATCAAGAGCTAGGCTAGTGGCATTAGGCTCCAACTTCGCCGCTCCCTTCTCGCAGTGGGCTGTCTTCGCCTCACGCTTGCCCTGATCTCCGCTTTGCAGAGGATCACGTCGGGCTCTACCTTCGCCTTCCGTCCTCTCGCTCTCGGTGGCTGGGTCGAGGGCTAGGCTTGTAGTGTCGGGCTCTAACTTCGCCGTCCGCTTCTCGCACAGAGGTGTCCGAGAGGGCCCCGCGTACACCGTGCGAAAGTCACTGGCGACGTCGGGCTGCGACTTCGCCTCAAACTTGCCCTCATCCCATAATCGTAGCTGATCACGTTGGGCTCCAACTTCGCCTTCCCTCTTCTCACATACGTTGGCTGGGTCACGAGCTTGGTTTGCAATGGTGGGCTCCAACTTCGCCTCGCACCACTCGCAATGACGTGTTGGTTGAATCCACTGCTCTTCCGCCCCCCCAACCAATGCCCAATCATTTGGAGCCTCCCACTGACTGGTATGCTGCAGCAACTTGCGGAGGTGCTCCACCTCACAGGTCAGGCGGTGGATGGCTCGTTCAGCCGACCACTGTGCCCAAGGAGGAGGAGGAGGAGGAGGAGCAGGAGGAGGAGGAGGAGGAGGAGGAGGAGGAGGAACTGGAGGCGGCGGAGGCGGACGCAGAGAATGCAGAGGAGAGTGTGTTTAGTTTTGCTCATGACGATCGCGAATCGAGATGAACAGTACAGTCGGGGCGTTGACCTAAGGAACCCTAGATAAGGAACGAGGCCCCTGTTTTCCATAAGTTGAGCTTCGATTTCCTATCGAAGACCTAAGGAAAAGCTGAGGCAAGCTGCGAAACACTTCTTAAGGAACGCGGAGCCCCTCCCCAACCAAAAGGGTTCCTTCTTCAGGGCCCCGACTGTACCCGAGGCGAGGCCCCCGGGGCCCGCGGATCGAAGGCAGCGGGCACCCACCAGAAGTGTCTGGGCCTGCCGCGGCGCTGCCCCCGCGCCCGCCTCCTGGCCGACGAGGCCCTCTTTTCTGCTGGGAAGCGGGCCCCGCCCAGCGAGGCGCGTTGCCCCCCGCATCTGCTAGCGTGAACGTCCAGACTGGTGGCATGAGCACGCGCGCAGGCATGGGCGGTATCTGCCCTGGAGCAGGCGAGGCTGGGAGGTGGTAGCCCCCAGCCAGAAGCGGATCGTGAACGTTCCAGCTGCTGCAGCTGCGCTGAAGCCAGAAGCCGACCGCAGTGTGACTGAGGGGCCTCCCGTTCCCCTCCCTCGAGCGCTGGCCCTGTGGGAGCGTGCAATCACCCGCGCGGCGGTCCGAACCTGAGCCGCAGGTGGCTGTGGGAAGCCGGCTCAACCCTCGCTCTAGTTTCTTTCGGCGGCCAGCCCGGAGGAGAGGTGGGAGGGGGCGGGCCTTCTCAAGGAACTCGGAAGTCTCCGGGCCGTTCTGAGTAAGTTTTCCGAGCCTTCCCCGAAGAAGCGGAGCACTTCTCAGAAGGCCAGAGAGAGCTTCTGAGAAGCCCCGCCGCCGTCTCGGAGGGGCTTTATCCTTCTCGCCTTCCCTCCTCGCTCGCCGCCGATCAACGCTCGCTCTCGCCTCCTCCTCTGCGGTCGGCTCTCTCCACGGCCGAAGATCCGCGCCTTCCTCGGCCGACGGGTGGGCTCGGCCACCCCCGCCCGCCCCTCCTCTGGTACCCGTCCGCCTCCGCGTCGCTCTCCGGCCCTGCCTCGGCCGACGCCGGACGAGCGCGCTCCACTAAAGGGAAATTAGGACACACAAATAAATACACACAAATAAAAAGATTCCCCATATTTTCCCATATTTTCTGGGTTTCTGTCATCCCCCCCACTTCCCATATTTTCCTATATTTTCCTGGGAATCGAGGATTAATTGTGTCTGTGTGTTTTTTCTCCTCCTGATCCACGAAGCAAGCCGCGGCTCACGGCTGCGGCCATATCTGGTCCCGCACCTTCGGTGAGTAGGCGAGCTGAGTCTCGATCGCCTCCAGGAGGGAGCTGCCTGGCTTTCTCGCACTCCGCGCTCGCTGAGTCGTCCTCCGTGAGGCCCAGCGGCTGACCCCCTCGCAAGCGTCCCCCGACGCACGGAGGCTTCACCTTCGCGCCCCTTCTCGGGCTTGGCCTGCCGCGTCGCGAACGCCATCTCGGGGGCTTCCACATGTGCCGGCATGTCGTCCTCGATTGCTGCCGCTGTCGCTAACCTGCGCACTTCTGGTGTGAAGCTGCGAGGTGATGGCCCGCGCTGGGAAAAAATCCGTGGGGCTGCGGGGCTGTGTGGTCAACAATCCGCCCCACCGGACGACTCTCCGGTGCGCAGAGCGAGTCCAGGATTGCCGATTCTCGCCCGTCACAACGTCGGTGCACCACCTGCGCCACGCATGGCAGGTCCGCACCCGAGGTCGCCAAGCGTGCGAAATGTCAGTTTCGCGTTGCTCGCGTGCGCCTCCGTCGCCCCATGCATACACGTCGGTCGAAAGAAATAGTAAAAAACATAAAGTAGGAAGGCGGATAACATAGATTGGGCTCAGGCCCTCCCAGAGAATAACAAGACACAGCAAAACCAAATCGATTCTTGAAGTAAGAAGGCGCTTAAAGTAGATTGGGATCTGGGAATCAGGGAACACCTACTTTCAACGACTGGCGTGTGTGCGGCCCCACCGAGAACGATTTCTTTATCACTTCTTTATCTTTCAACGTCCGCTACCGTGTTGTCTGGGAGTATGTTGCCGGCCTTCTGCAATCTCAAAATTGCCTTATAGCCGCATGGCCAGTGCCGTGCCGCCGCGAAGTTGCCACCGTCGCCAGCGGCCCTCTGCCCCCATGCTCGTCTCACCTGGCCCCGCGGCCTCGCGGGGAAGCCCTGCTCGCCCGCTCTGCTCCCCGCTCCGCGACGACGCCGGCTCGGGCCTCTCTCTTTCTGTAGCACCTGGCGAGACTCCCGGCGCACCGAGGGGCATATTTGTTCTCGTCGGCGGCGAGGCAGCGGCAGCCCGCTCCCGCGCGTGGCTCTTCGGGGCAACCCAAAGGCTGATTGCTCGGCCGGCGTGCAAGGGGCGGGGTGGGAAGAGGAGGAGGGCGGCCGCGCGGGGGGAGGCGGAGGGGGACCGGAGTGCACACGTGCTGCTGCCCTTCCGGCGAGAAGGCCGGGCACGGCGCGATCGAGGTGCAGCCCTCAGTGCCTCTGCGAGGGGGCGGGGGGGGGGGCACGGGCAAAGGTTGGCCCGGGGGCGCACAGATCAACAGGCACACGCAGCCCATGATCCCCCATATGTGTTGTTCGATCTGCTCTGGATCGCCGTCTCTTCCCCCCCACTTCCCCCACGTGTTCCAGTACTTTCCTGGGGGTCGACGAGGCTTTGTGTCTCTGTGTGTGTGCTTTCCCCCTCCTGGATGTGGGGAGGGAGAGAGCGCAAATCGATAGAAACACGCATCCCTTGATGCCCCACATCTTGTTCGAGATGTCCTGGATCGCCGTCTCTTCCCCCCCCCTTCCCCCATGTGTTCCCGTACTCTCCTTGGGATCGACGAGCTTCCCCCTCCTGGCTGTGGGGAGGGAGCGAGCGGCACGCGGCACAACCGCGGGCGGCACGGCGGGCGGAGCCACGGCACGGCGCGGTGCGGCAGCGGCGCGACGTGACGCGGTGCGCATGGGGTGACGCGGGGCACGGCACACGGCACGAGGCACCCTCAGGGGGCGATCGTCATCGTTTATCCGATCCCCATCCCCATCTCCATCGCCTTCGAGACCCCCACCAAATTACCACCCCAGTTGGGGATACACCCCTAAAACCCCTAAGAAAACGACGTATATCCCCATCTAGGGGGGGTAAACCGGCCAGTGGGGCCCAGGCCACGCCGCTGGGGATGGGGATCGGTTAAACGATGCTGAGGTGAGGTGCGGGAGTGCCGGGGGGGGGGGGGGGGGAAGGGTGGGAGGAGAGGGCCCAACTGTCAAGGAACCGCATGTAGCGGCCGCAAGTGTGTGCGTGGCAGTCCTGGGCCCACCGTGGCGGCCCAGGCAAGCGAGCCTGCGGCAGAAGCAGCATGCGTACAATGCTCTTTCGGCAGTCGGCGTTCCAGCAACGTCTCCCGCACAAAAGCGTTCCAAGCGAAAGGAACCAACTGCAATCGCATGAATAATCTGGAGTCAGAACTCCCACTCTGGACAGCTCGACGCTGACCGCGATCACCGTGCGATACCAACAAAACGAAACTGCCACCCTTTGCCCAAACTTAACTGAGCCTGCCCTCTTAAACGCAATCCTGCATCAGCGACTCCGAGGAAGCGCAGCCGGGCGAAGCCCGAGAGGCAGCAGCGCTTTCGGGGGAGCTTGCCATTGCTGCGACCGAGAATCGGCGGACCGCGTTGCCAGAGCTTGGGCCGCCCTGTGGCCAATGTGCCAACGAGGAGAAGCTGGACGCACATCAACGGCATATGGAGGTCAGGCGTATACATCTGTACGAGGGCACAACTGGATGCACTGACACACCCACGCAGATCGACAGACGTGTATATATCGAGCGCGCGAGGGAGGGAGAGAGAGAGAGAGAGAGAGAAAGAGAGAGAGAGAGAGAGAAAGAGTGTGAGAGAGAGAAAGAACGAAAGAAAGACACACAAGTGGAGATTGGGAGAGGGACCCACAACGATGCGCATGGATACATATAGGAGGGTAAGGGCAGCATCGACAACATGAGCCTGAACGGGCTGGCAGTTCATATTTTCGCCAGGCGCAACTCTCAGCTCGGCCATGCCTTCTCGACCTTGGGCTGCGAAAGCACGTCATTCCATGAGACCACCGAGGACGGGACTCGGCGCATGCGAACTGGCAGGATAAGGACGAGGGGCAGAGGTATAGCGAGAGCGAGCGCAAGAGAACACGATGAAGTGCAACCGTTGACGTTGGCGTACAGTCGAAAACACACAGTGGATTAGGGGACGGTGAAGCAGAGAGATAGAGAGAGAGAGAGAGACACGCTGAGATGGCAAGGAAGGGATGACTAGCTGGGGCGCGGGGAGGATTGTCAAGATGAGGCCCGAGCGGGGGAGAAATGGGGAGGTTGACGGGGAATAGGCAGCAAGGAGATGCCTATCCTCTACGGGGTTGGAGTAGGCGGGCCTCCGAAACAGTGCCGCGTCGCGTACACATAGGGGCCAAAGGGCGGGAGTAGATCCGACTCCCGCTGCATATAGCAAGAAACGCTCGATGTGTCCAAGCGGAACTACTACTTCCTCCTCCTCCTCCTCGTCAACAATCGTCATCACCATCATTCCCTCGCCCCCCCGTATGTTTCTGCAATTTCTGCGTGTGCTCGGCCGTCTACTCTTTGTTGTCCGTCTTCCCCCTTCATCCGCCCTATTCTTCTCAACCTTTTTCCTGTTCCTTCTCCTCCTCTCCTCCCCCGCCTCCTTTCACTTCCTCGTCCCCTTCCTTCTCTTCCTCCTCCCTTCCTCGTCGCTCCTCCGTCCCCCACCCCTCCCCCGCCGCACCTCGCATTCCCGTCTCCTCCTCCTCGCCCTCCTCGAAGGGGAAGGAGGAGGACCAGAGAAGACGCAAGATGCATCAGCGGTGCTGCAAGGTACATCATCCCGTGCCAAGTTTCCTTCTCACAAGCCCCATCCAGATCGTCATCCTCACTACACAGGGCCGCCCCTTGAAATGCCAGCACCTGTGGGCCTGCCATTCAATCAAGAGCCTTGCACCCTTCCAGCGCGTCGCCAGAAATGCGAAAGGGTGTGATCATACAGTTCAGCGGGGTGCCCAGCGAGATCCCCGTTTTGACAATGGACCACACCCCAAGGCGTGTGACAGGTGTCCACATATGCGCTTCTTCGAGGAGGTCTGAAGCAACACCCCCATGTTGATCAGGAGCCGCCATCCATCCTTGCAGCTGCTACGTCTGTTCAAGCTCCTGGTCTTTCATTTCAAAGATATCCTGACGGACAACCCCATTGGAAAATGGAACCGTCCTCCGTCCCAGTAGCTGATGTAAGCGTATAAGATGAATGTGCGCGGCGCTATGGAGAGAGCCTCAGTTTGAAAAAGAGCCGTCCTCCATCCAAGAAGCTGCTGCAACATTGTATGACGAATGTGGGTGGCGCTGAGGCGAGAAGCCCTATTTTGAAAACACCCACATCCATCCTTGTAGGTGCTGCGACTTTCAAGCTTGAGGATCACAGTGATGAGGTCTCCAAGCGACACGCCCGACCCGACCTACCGAAACGTTTGGGGTGCAACAGGGCGGATATACTTATGGTAACAAAGAACGGAGGAGGGGGAGGCTGAGGAGGGGAGTGAGGGCGAGGCTGAGGAGAAGGACGGAGGAAGAAGGAAGAGGACAAGGAGGAAGGGGATGATTCTGATGGTGATGGGAGGAGGAGGAGGAGGAGGAGGAGGAGGAGGAGGAGGAGGAGGAGGAGGAGGAGGAGGAGGAGGAGGAGGAGGACCAGAGTAAACTCAAAATGCATCAACGATGCTGCCATCCAAAATCCTGTGTCGAGTCTCCTTCCCGTGAACACCTACAAGGCTTCGTTTTCGCTGCCAGAAGCGCCCATGGGAATACCGGCGCCCTATAGGGACTGTCATGCAGGCGAGAGCACCGCTTTGACAACGAACTGCCTTGCATCCTTCTGGCTCGAAGTCTTGAAGGTGAAGACGAGGTCTGGCCATACAGCTCGGCGAGGTGCCCAGCGGCATAAAAACGCCCTCCAGACGTGCAGTCCTTGCACAAGCTTGCAGCTCCGGCCAGACATTCCGCGAAGGCCTTTCGCGCGCACCCACTCTGGAAGGGAGCCGCCCTCGATCCGTGAAGCTGCTGCGCGCGTGGAAGTTCAAAAGCTCATGGTGCCTCGTCTCCCTGAAATCTCCAGCGAGGGCCTCCTTCTGAAACGGAACCACCCTCCATCCCGGTGGCCGTTGCAAGAGTTTGCAGCGAGCGTGCGCGGCGGCGGCGCCACGGTCAGAGCCCCATTAGAAGCAGAAGCCGCCCTGCGTCCCCGCAGCAGCTGCTGTCAGTGACAACTGTGCGCGGCTCTTCGACGAGAGCCACACTCTGAAAAGCTACCGCGCTCCATCGTTGTAACGGCCGCCAGCTGTTCAATACGAATGTGCGCAGCGCCAGGGCGAGAGCCCCATGCTGAACGCCGCCTGCGCTCCATGCCTGTAACCGTTGCAGACTCTTCGAACGAATGTGCACGGCGTCACCTCCGCTTTGAAAACCTCTTGTGCTCCATTCTTGCAGACGTTGCAACATTCATGCCTCAGGACCATGAGTAGTGCGCATGTTTCGGGCGAAACGCCTTGCCCCCCTCCCCTCCCTCCTCCACCTCCTCCCCCCCTTCCCCCTCCCCTCCCTCCTCTTCCTGCAGCTGCTGCTGCTGCTGCTGCTGCTGCTGCTGCTGCTGCTCCTCCTCCTCCTCCTCCTCCTCCTCCTCCTCCTCCTCCTCCTCCTCCTCCTCCCCCTCTTCCTCCATCCATGTATCCCTTTTCCTTATCATGAAAAACTCCCCCCTGTCGCACCCCCAGACTTGCCAGTAGGGCGGGCCTTGCGTTTTGCCACAGACTTCCTCACTATTGATGATCCCGAGGCGTGAATCCTCCAACACATTCAAACATGGAGGGCGGGTGGTTTTCAACATGTGGCTCTCGCCTGATCGCCACGCACATTCGTCTTCCAAGCGTGCAACAGTTTCCAACACAGAGGGCGGTTCGTTTTCAACATGTGGCTCTCGCCTTGGCGCCACGCACATTTGTCTCGAACGTTTGCAGCAGCTTCAAAGATTCGTCTGGCTGAAGTCCACGGAATGGTGTTCTGGCACGATCTGGGATTGCCACGACGCAACAACCACGTTGACCAGCTGTGCTGATGCACCAGGAAGGTCGCTCTGGCACTGTTTAAGACCATCAGGGAGAGCCGGCCACGCTGGCTCGAGGCGCTGGAACCCCAGGTACTGTGCAGTGGCACGATTGGGCATCCTCAGACGGTTGTCTTCACATGGGGCACAAGCTGTTGTCGGGACCTGTGAAGAAGAAACTTCGAGGGAGGGTTTAGTACAACATCGTTGAACCGTCTTGGGTTGACACTAGCCCTCCTCCTCTTCCTCCTCCTCCTCCTCCTCCTCCTCCTCCTCCTCCGCCTCTTCCTCCTCCACCTCGGCCTCCTCCGCCTCCTCCTCCTCCTCCGCATCCTCTGCCTCCCGCTCCTCCGCATCCTCTGCCTCCCGCTCCTCCTCCTCCTCCTCCTCCTCCTCCTCCTCCTTCTCCTCCTCCTCCTCGTCCTCCGCCTCCTCCTGGTCCTCCTCCTCCTCCTCCTCCTACTCCTCCTCCTCTTCCCCTTCCCCTTCTCTTCCTCACCCCCCTGCGCCTCTGGGGGGCCCCCGGGGCCCGAGCGGGGGCCGCGCACGGGGGCGGCGCGGGCAGCGTGCCGCACCGCCCCTCCCCGTCGCCGCCAAGGAAGGGGCCCTCGCGCGCGGCTGGGGGCCCGACACCTCGGCAGGGCCGCCGTCTCCTCCGGGGATATTCCGCAGGGGGGGCCGAGGGGATCGAGGAGGATCGAGGAGGACCGAGGAGGGCGGAGGAGCTCGAGGGGGACCGAACATGAGCGGGATCGACGAGGGGCAGGAGGATCGAGGAGGATCGGCCTCTCCCTTCCTCCTCCTCCCCCTTCCTCCCTCCTCACTTTCTCCTGCCTTCGCCCTCCTCCCCCCTGCCTCCTCCGCCCTCCCCGCCCACTCCCCGACGCAGACGAGGAGGGCAGAAGAGGAATAGACGGAGAAAACTGAGGAGGAGGAGGAGAGAACTGGAGGAGGGAGACGGGGGAGGGAGACGGACGAGAAGGAGGAGGAGGAGGCGGAAGAGGAGGAGTGGAGAGGAGGAAGGAGGCGGAGGATGGAGGAGGAGGGAGCCGGAGAAGGGAGACGGAGGAGGAAAACGGAGGAGGTAGACGGAGAAGGAGGAAGAAGAGGGGGAGGAGGAGGAGGAGGAGGAGGAGGAGAAGGAGAAGGAGGAGGAGGAGGAGGAGGAGGAGAAGGAGGAGGACAAGGAGGAGGAGGAAGTAACATGAGGAGAGAGGAAAGGGAGGAGGGAAAGGCGGATGAGGATGACGAGCTTCGTGCTATTTGCCGCTGCTGCTCTTATCGGGCTGCTTGTTCATCTTGTCCCGCTCGCACTATTCCCCGAACGGTGCTTCCAACGGGCCCAGCGGCCCCGTTCCCGTCCGTCGTCGCCCCATTGCTCCCAAATGGAAAACGCGTCTGCTGGCCCGGCGGCCCCGCTCCCGCCTTCCGCCACACCACGTCGACTACACCACACAGCTGGCTCCACATAGCTCACACCACCCAGCTTGCAAAACATGCCTTGCGCCACACAGCTTGCGCAAACTAGCATACACCACACAGCTCGTACCACGCATACTGATCCATGTATGCTTACACCACACAGCTTGCACCACGTGGCTTGCACCAAACAGCATGCACCACATAGCTGGCACCACATAGCACGAACCGCAATGGAGAAGCCCGCCGCAAGCGCCAAAGTTTCACCAATTATACACCGAGCCCGCCGCATGCGCCGATGTTTTCGTTAAGCCAATGTAAGTAGGTCGCCATCGCGGGTGGGTCGTGGGGCGGGTCGCGGGTGGGTCGCGGGTGGGTCGCGGGTGGGCCGCTGTTGGGTCGCTGGTGGGTCGCGGGTGGATGAT